AAAGTGACATAAAATTCACCACCATAACCATTTTAAGTGTACATTAAATACAGTCACACTGCAGCACAGCCTTTACCTCCATCCACTTCCAGAGCTCTTTGCATCTAGCAAACCTGGAACTCTGCACATCAACACACTCACCACGGGGCTGTCCTTCATGTGTCTCAAGGCCGGGCGGCTCTGAGCCACGAGTGGTACATGCATGATTAACCCCTCAGGCGGCACTGACACAGTCCCATCAGCTGAAACAAGCCGATGGATGGCACAGTCATGCATGTACCACTAGGGGTGTGTTAAACAACAACTCCGCAACCTCCAGCAACTACCATTGTACTCTGTGTTGATGAGAGCTGGACTACTCCAGGGACTGCACATTAGTGAAATCATACAATGTCGTTCCTGTGTCTGGCCTTCCTCACTTAGCTTTATGGGCTCGAGTCCCACACAGGTTGTAGCACGTGTCAGAATTCCCTTCCTCTTTAAGACTGAATAACATTCCACTGGGAATATATACCGCATTTGGCTCATCCACTCGGCTGTCAATGGATACTTAGGTTGCTCCCACCTTTCATCGATTATGAATAATGCTGCCATGAACGCGTGTGTACCACAAATGCATTCTTCAAGCATCTAGAAGATGATACGGAAGAACGGATAATTTCAGAGATGCAGAGATATTTGGACTGATTCTGAAAATGAGGAGACTTTTTGAGCCAAACAGCAGCAGAAAAGGGCCCCCAAAGCCAGGAGCAGGGAGAACAAGGGACACCCTGAGTGCAGAAGGCTGTGCCCGTGTTGGGAGTCAAGGCTGGTAGAGGACTTCCTACCGCCTGCTTTGCTCTTGTTTAGTCCCTCCAGGACCCGGTCCCTGTGAGTGAAAGGGGCACTGCTGGAGTAGATGCTGAGAGATCCAGCCCCAAGCCTCCCTGTCGTCTCTCACGCCTCTCCAGGCTTTCCTTCCGTGGATTCTGAGTGAGGCTCTGGGCTCTATGCTGCCTGCAGCTTGGGGCTCTGCCTTCTGGGCCCTGACAGTGTTGAGGCTCTTGTGCTTCTTCCTGGTGGCTGAGAAGTGGCCATGTAGCTTTAGGCAGCACAGGCCCGGGCCTAGGGTCTGAACAAGGTCACAACAGTGGCTCACTCAGCCCAGGAGCCTGGGGGGAAGCCATGGGAGCACCAGATCTGTGTTTCGGGTAAACAGGAGCCCGCTGGAGGCCAGCAGAGTAAAAACAAAGTATATGTGAGAAGAAGGCAGGATAGACTAAGAAAAGGACAGGGACAATGGACAAAATCACCTGAGCAGTACAAGGAGCAAGACCTGACAGGAACCGGATAGAGGAGTCTGGGTGACAAGGAGTGATGAATAATTCAATGTTCAAAGACAGCGTCTTGAGCATGTTGAGTCAATGCAATCCTGATATCCAGGCCCTGCCAAGCTCCATGAGGGAGCTCACAGCATCCAGATGGAAATGCTGGCTCCCTCACTCTCAGTGCACAGCCCATTTCCAAGGAACACTCATCTCTGTCGTCACAGATATTGTCTGTACCCAGACAGACAGTAAGACCCTTAACAGGGGCACCAGGAAGCCAAAGAGCACGTGTGTCACGAGAGCTGTTGTTTTAGATGGAAATCAGAAGAAGCACGATGATTCAAACCAACCTTTTCTGTTGATTTAATGAGTGCTGTCAAGTGTTTTAACACCACAGGCCCATCCAAGCTGTACGTAAAGTTCATGTTATCAAAGATGATCACTCCTTCGTGGGGCCAGTCCGGCGGCGGGCGTTTCTGGTACTCCCATGGCGCTTCTTTCTCCAGGTCTGTGTATTCAATGACTCTCTCCACTGAAATCATCTGAAAGAGACACGGCATCCACACTGGTTATGACAGGAGGGCCTCGTTTGTGGGTGTCCACGATGGTCAAGGACAAGGATAATCTAGGCCTTGACGTCTCAAGATGGATGAGGATCTCCACGTTCTGCTATTGCGTTTGCCATCGTGCCACACTTAGGACTAATTCCTTCAAACTTCTGACACTGAATACAATGAGGACTTCATAAAAGCAAAGAGTACTTATGGCCTCCAATCGATGATCATTTGAGGCCACTTGCTATCCATCAGTTAAGTCAGAGAGTCAGCAAACCTCATTGTAATAATTCTGCTCCGTGGGAAGAGTGAAATGGAAATATTTCATCTCTCTCTCTAGGAGAAGGTGTAACTGTTCCAAAGAAGATGTAATTTACATATCGATTAAGCCCCTCCTAAACACCAAGGCCTGGCTCCTTGGAGGAGAGCACTGAAGAGGCGGCTGGCCCTACCCAGGAAGAAACAGCAGCAAATTCTGGGCTTCCTGCCTTCTTCTGCTCTTCACACAGCAGAATAAACGCTAACGCTGTAAAACTGAAGGTGGGTGGGTTGGGGTGAGGGTGGGGAGACCTATTAATTAAACAAACAAACAACCTCAGAAAACTGAATTCTTCTTTTACCAAGAATGAGGAATTACCCATTAAGAAACAAAAATACACAGGCCTCTAAGAAATTAGCTTCTATCCTCTCTAGGATTTCAGAACTTCCCTCCTACAGAGATGGTTATTACATTTGAAGACAGCTTGTGATGAATATAAAACCTGCTGACATAGCATACATGAGACTTAGAAAAAGATGTATATATTTTATTTTACATTAACTTTAAACAGATGGAAGAAGGATTTTAAAAAACTCCGTTAGCTACGATTAAAAATAACAGTTTTAATATTTTACATAAGAACTGCTTTTATGCCATTTAATGGCAAAGAGACTTGAAAAGGCCAAGAACGTTCAGATAAACATTACCATATTCTCCACTTCGGCGCTTTGTCTAACAGACCACTGGAACATTCCCATGAGCGTGAGGGCGTAGGACAAGGCCAAGCCAACCTGCCCAGCATCCAAAGCTACAAGAGGAGGGAGGAGAGAATGGAGTCAATCCCATTTGTAAAATGTGCCTGGCACCCTCTTCCAAGCTACCAAGAGGGTTCAGCAAGATGCACATCATGACAGCAATAGTTATACTTCAGTTACCTGCTGAGATCACGATACGATTTTTAAAACCTACTGTGCTTTTAGAAAACTTATTAAATGAGTTTATTAATCCCAACATGATCAGCCTATGTTTGAAAAACAGCATTATATATGTGAGGAATAATGTCACTGGTCAGACATACCTCATTACGTTTCCCAGCCCATTATGGGATCCCACACTTCCTACGTCTACGTCAAAGGGAACCACGGTGGGAAATCACTACACACAAGGCAATGGGTTCTAAAAGATGATGTTCTGCACAGTAAAACACCACCCTCGTTGTTCTACTCTTAAACATCACAATTCAGTGGTGTCACTATGGCAGCTGGGATGGCAAATTCATGCCACACGTGCCGACCTGCTTGTCTGGTGCACACCTGGCAATGATGACAATGCTGTTTCCTGCTGAGACTCCCCCTCAGTGGAGCACACAGGCAACTACACCAATAACCTTAGTAGCCCAAAGGCTAAAACCTAAAGCCAGAAGGGCAAAATGCTTCATAGCAGTTTGGGCTTTTTCCTCACAACTACCACATGTAACCAAGAATTTTCGGAATGTCATCGGCACAGACCTCAAGCCATTCAAAGAAAGATAAAAGGGATGCGTCAAGAGCCAGTGAGTACACTAAATGACTCGCACTGTGGAGTCACATCCATGCTGACACTCTGTAAATGCTTTAATTCACTTCGTTAGACCCAAACAGTATATTCCATTAGACGAGGTGGCAAGAGTTTAATTTAATAACTGTACACACAGCTACAAATTGTAGTCATACCATACATAGTTACCCACATCTGCACTTACTGTGTGCCAGGATCAGGGACCCGTAGGCAGTAACGATGACAAAGATGGCACAGATGGCATCCAGACGCACGGCAAACCATCGTGACGTTGTCAGAAACAAGAACCAAGCCTCTGGGTTGGGGAACCGGAATAAGCACAATGCGTAAGTACCAAAACCACACGAACTGCCCCCAACATGAGCAGTGTGACGATGCTCAAAGAGTAGCACAGCAGGGTCGCACACCCGAGGAGTCTAAAGGTTCCGCTCTCTGAAGGTTCCAGAAACCTGGATGAGGCATGCATGGCACGCACACAAACAGTGCAGTGGTTTTGCACAAAGGGGCACTGAGACATGCAACCCAGAGATGATAAGCAGAAACATAACTGTAGTAAAAAACAAAACAAAAAAATGGTCTTGCAGGGTCAGGCTACGGTGTGAAACTCTATATAGGTGGTTCTCGGTTCTTTGAACAGAGAGCAGCTGGCAATTTATTTCTAGCACCTTCCACACTTAAAGGGTACTGCACACAGGGAAGACTGCTTAGGGGCTGCATGACAGTGTCCCCCTTCCTACAAAGATCTGCAGGTGCGTTAGAAAGTACCATTAAAACCTAACACAACACAAATTGGAAAGACAGGCCAGGATTTTGTATATTCAGGGGAAAATCAGAAATGTCTAAGTGAGGGGATTAAAAAAAAAAAACTTCACTGATACAAAGAATAATACATACGACAATCTGTTAATCTCTGTCACTTCTGACATCTCATATGTTCTAAAGTCTAAATCAAGGGTTGGTAACCCTCAGATCATGGGCTAACACATGCTCATCATTTGTTTTTAGTAAAAGTTTGATGGGAGCAGGGTCAGGGGCCTATACAGTCTGTGCTTGTTTTTGTGCTAGAGTAGGAGACTGAAGTCACCACTGGCACTCTCTGGCTCTGCTTAAGGGCAGGGTCCTCTTTACAACTGCATCCCGTCCATGAGGACCAGGAAAGTTAAGGCCAAGTCACACACCTGACCTTGTGCCACAGGACTATGTGGCATACAAAACCTGAAACATTTGCTAGGTAGCCTTTTTGCAAAAAAGAAAAGTTTGTTAAGTTGTGATCTAAAGGGACAGAGAGCCACAGGGCAATGAGTTGCAAGGACCATGCAGCCGGGCAGAGGGAAAATGGGGAAATACAGAGATTCCAAGAGGAGTTAAAGCTCAAGGGCTGAAGGAGAGGAAAATGTGCCAGAGGTACCAGCCAACAAGGCCACCTGTAAAGCAAGCAGGAGATCCCAGGGGCTGAGGCCACTTCTGGAAACATACAGACCTGAGTGCAAGTCCTGGTGGGCATCAAACAGCTCCTGACATCTCTCTTCAGCCCTGTATGCCCGGACCGTCCAGAGCCCCTGGAGGGAGGAGGACAAGTGGGAAAACACCGGACTCCGTGCTGCAGAAACGCAGAAACACAGGCAGGCAGGCAGGCAGACAGACAGAACAGAGGAAGCTTGGTGAGGCTGGATGCAATAAACCAGCTGCCTCTTATACTCCATGGTCACACAACCCAACAACAGTGACACTAAGGGGTCTGAGTTTCCAGACAAAATACTCCCAGCGACCTGGAGAGGACCCTGCCTGCCAACGCTCAATCCATGGGCAAAGCAGATCTCATATTAAGGACCGGGAAATTAAAGTCACTGTTCCACCCACATTCAGATCTAGTTGTCATTCTCTCTTTGCTAACCCATCCTTCAAGGTCCTCTCCTCCATACTCCTAGATGTCTCTTTGGGCAAAAATTATGTTTCACCGATTTTTGAGCCAGGAGCATTATTTTTACGATTCTGTAAATACTCACCACAATGAATAATGATCTATTTACATGTCTGCTCCCACTTTAAAGTATCAATTTAGGGGCAAAGGATAGCCTGGTAGCCCAGTAACTAGAACACCACCTGACACAAGACATGTGCCTGACAAGTAGGGTGAAATGACAGTGTGTCATCTCCTTGCACCCAGAGGATTCTTCCTCTGTCAGGTGGTGCAAGAAGAGTCCTTCATGGTCACTGTGTACCTGGGAGTCACATCATACTTGTGTCCACAGAACCTGCTCAGCCAAGAGGTCTTTCACTGGTCTTGACCTCAACTGTAGGACCTTTGTAACCATCCTACCAGAAACCTGTCCTCGTGTTTGGAGGTCACTGTGCCATATGGCTTTTTAGAATCTGACTGTGGCCTTCGTGGCTTTATCATCTTGAAAGAATCTAGAAGGTAAATTCTCATTCATGTATGTTAGTTTCGATCTGGGACATGTGCCCCATGACTAGCCAGGTGTTTCGACCACACAGGATCCCATCAGGCCCAGCCTCCCACACGTGGGAACACATGGGCTGCCTGCTGCCAGGCAGGACAGTTCTGATAGTTCCTTCCTTCTGCACAGTGAACAGGACCATACTGGGCTTGTACCCAGCACACTGTCTTTACCATTTGTCTGGGATGAACCACTTGTGCTTACTGGGTAGGAAATACTGACAAATCACTTTTTTACCTATCCCCCTTCTAGAGAAGTCCTGTTGGTAAAACATGGAACAGTTAGGAGAAGTGAAGCCTATTTATCTTACAAGAGGCTGTATGCATTTTATAAGATGACAAGTGGGTAAAAATCAAGGGAAAACCCCGAAGTTATTTTGTAGTTAATCCAAGTGCTGGTCTTGGACAATGTGGTACAACACGGAAGTTCTCATTGTGCCCATGGGTGCTGTGCATGTTTGGGGACACTGGGGCACTTGTGTACCAAGACACAGGACCGCTCACAAAACAGAGACCACAGCTGCACAAGCAAGGAGGAAGAGGGCTTCTAAGTGTGTATGACACTCAGCTCCAAAAAGGTGCAACACCTCAGCCACGGGCCTGCTGTCTGCCAGCTCCTCCCTGTGGCTATTTGCTAAGCAGGATATATCTTTTAACTGATGCTTATTTCCTTTAACCCTGCACTGTTAAGAAGGTAATGGGATGTAAGAGGACTGAGCTCAAGCTCCAAATAAGAAAGGTGGGAGCTTCCCACAGGCCTTTGCTATAGACTTCAGCAGACATTCCAACGTGCCCCAGAGCTCATCACTCTGCAAACAGGATGCTCCCAGGGACTACCAACCCAGGCTTCCACATCCCAGGGTTCTATTAAGAGAGTGCTCAAAGTGTAGCTCCAGAAAACCCAGAACACTCCTTAGAACCACGCGCTCTCATTTATGGAATGAGCTGTTGTAGTGACAAGAACACTATTTCATCAGAGACGATGGCACTGAGGAGGCAGGTGTGGTGGTCACCCATGCAGGGTCTTCGAAGGAAGCCTCCAGCTTGGCCATGCTCACCTGTGTCCCTTATCAGGAGACCGAAGTCACCACTGGCACTCTGACTCCACCTAAGGGCAGGGTCCTCTACAACTGCATCCCGGCCATGAGGACCAGGAAAGTCAAGACCAAGTCACACACCTGACCTCTCCCAAGAGGTACAGAGGTACAGCAGGAATCTACACGCATGAGAGGTAATCCCGCCTCTGTCATACCTCACATGGGGTGAGAGCAGCGCCAGTGGGGGTGCACTGAAGGGACCGAGAAGACCATAAGTAGTCACGGGGGCGGCTCGTGGCAAGGCTCCGGGTCATCTTGCCTTTTTCCTACACAGGCCCATAAGGCTAGCACAAAACAGACGACAACACTATGACATTTTGCAGGACCCACAGCTGTGCTCTCCACAACCCCAAGGCTTCACTGGGCCATACCCGGAAGGACTGAGTATGCTTTCAGGGAAAGAGCAGGGCAGAGATCTCGGTATTCATTAACACTATGGGAGAGCTTCCGATGATTCCACTTTTGATTCCCTTATGTGTGAGGTGCTAGTACCTTACATAGTGGCCAATAAGCACCATCCAGGCACTGTCTCAGGCAACTGTCAGGAGAACCCCAAAGAGCAGGTATGATTACAGCCTCAACAAAGGAAAATGGACCTCAGGCATTAACAACATTGCCTACGAGTAAATAAAGTATTCCACGTAGTACACTAGGGTGCCAGACCCAACTCTTACTCCCAATGCTGTGCTTTTAATCTGAGCCACAACCTCAAGGCATCAATAATCAGAGTTAAAGCTCTCATGTGTTACCAGACACATTTTTCTCGATTTTGTAGGTAACGCTTAGAAAACGCTAAACTCTTACTTTACAAATACCCATTAGACTTCCCTAAATTGAACAACAGCCCTGGAAATCTGGTATGGAAACTTTGCGAAAAACAGCTTCAAGGATCTATGGTCTGAAAATAAGTAGCAGGTGCTGATGATCCACTCACAAATGGGTACTTGCAGCAGACATTGCTAATGGATCACAGCACCCTCGATGGAGGGAGTGTTGCTATGGCTCACAATCCAGGCACTTCCTGACTGAGACAGTTAGCTAAAGAAGTGCATCAAATACCATCCTGGTTTGATGCCCCTCTGTATGACTGCTGTTACATTTGTCTTTGGAAAAATAAAAATCATATTATGATCAAATATTATTAAGAATGCTTAAACATCAGCCTGGGCTTCCAAAGGCAGGTAGGCAGTAGGATCTGAAAATAGACCCTGGGGATCTACAAGTCCCTCGAAGCACAAAGATGGAGTAGGTCTATGCCTCTTGCTACAGCCATCAGGCAGTCTTCTTTTTCCTGGTGACTACAGTCTGTGGCCTTGAAAAACATTAGCAATTGTTGCTTAGAAAGAAGGGTAGTGAGCCGGGCGTGGTGGCACATGCCTGCAATCCTAGCACTCGGGAGGCTGAGGCAGGAGGATCCCTGTGAGTTCGAGACCAGCCTGGGCTACATAGTGAGTTCCAGGTCAGTCTCAACTACATGGTGAGACCCTGTCTCAAAAAACAAAACAAAACAAAAAAACCCCAGTAGAGCTGTTACTTATGACACAAACCCATACCCAGATGGATGATAAAAAATGGTTCATTTGGTTATCTGGGGATGTGGAGAAGGAATTATCCATATTTAACTCCTTATCACAGTCAACAAAGGTAGAGACAAACCCAAATTTTCCACATGGGCCATGACACAGTTGTAAAACTCTTCACATGAAAATTACACCAAGGTTTAGGATATGCTCAAGGCTTCAAGAGAGAAGATTCTACCTGCTTCTTGCAAAAAGCTTTAGTAGGGTCCTTTCTCTCTACTTCATATGGATGGGGAGTGGCTCCTGCCACAGAAAAATATCTATGTCAAGGGGTTCCTTCTGGAACCAACAACCCTTCCTCAAATATACCTGAAGCTTATTCTGCAACAAGACTGTTGAATAACTCCATTTCACAAGGGGCCTCAACTCATAAAATGTCTAAAAGCTTGCGTCTGCACAAAAAACGGGGCCAATGAGATGAACAACGGGGGTCTCCAGCATGCGGGTCTCCTCCACAGCCTGCCTCCTGAGTCCTGTCACTGGGACACAAGTCACATGTCACATCAGCTCACACTGTGCACATGGGGACAATGCACGTGACGGGGCTCACGGTGGTTTCGCAGGTCCTCCTGATGACAGAAAAACTTCTCTGTACCATTTATGAACTTTCACTCACTCCAGTTTATACAGACAGTGATGGAAAATGGCTCATAAGAGTTTATTATTAAAAAGGAGACACATATGCCATGAGAAAAGAACTCCCTTTGTCCCAGTGAACTCATATTTTTTCTTCTTAGTGATAACTGGGAACCACGGGACTCTATTTTCCGCTCATTGATTTTCAGAAAGACGAGTTGGCATTCAGTTGCACACACTACTCATCAGAGGTTTTCTGATGGAATAACTTCCTTTTTTACTTTTTTGGCTATGCTCCTTAGAGCTTTTCTAAAAATGAACAGTTCTACTCTCCTTATGGTTTTACATTTTAATAATAATGAAATATGTTACTTTGTTCATTCATAACGAGATGAGCTCTGGATTAATTCATCCTCTCTGATTATCTGCAGAATACGGTGATTTAATCATAAGGCATTTTCCCCATTATGCCCACACTAGAAAGCTAAACAGGGCAATAAATAGACTGAATGCATTCTAAACTCTCCTTCTGATTGTTCAGCGTCCATGATCAACAGTGTAGGTGAAAAGCCCACAGCGAGGCCTTACACCAAGTACCACTGATAACAAGGAGCAAAACTGAAAATAACAATGCTTGTCTTTCCAAAGCACTTAGCAGCTGCAATTTATTCCAATAAGTTAGAATTATATTTTTCAAGTACATTACTTCTGGTATGAGTATATCTCTCATACCTCTGCCTTTCTTTTCTTTCCTCTTTTCCTTTCCTTGTCATTCCCAGTATCTTTAGAGAAGGAAGAAATTTCCCTGATTATTTTTGCTCTAAATTGGTTCCATACACGGTGAGATGTTTTATTGGAAAAATGCTTATTGAGTGCCTGCCCTGTGTACGCAGGGAAATGCGTCATGAACAAGACAGAGAGGGCCCCTGTCTGGGCGAATGCCAGTTGAGCACCGTGCCCACCTCCACCTGTCATTCCTTCTTATGTTAAACTGCAAAGCTGCACCTGGCAGGCCACCGGCTCCACTCACTTTGAGGGCCACAGTGACTCATGCTGACCCTAATACTGTGTTTAATTGCCTTATGGTAACAGGGGGAGAAAGTCTGGAGGACTGCGCGTGCAGAACTTTCTTGTCTCCTTAAGTACGGCATAGATGAAAGCCACGTCACACTGCTGAACCCACTGGAGATCCTCAGTACTCACTTGTGGACTCCAGGCGTTTGACATCCCTTGAGGTTTCCAAGAAGTAGCGCCGAAGAACGAAGAAAATGATGGCCAGGGGAATCATCGGTACTGCGATCCAAGGAATCACGGCCACCGCCACGGCCATCACACTGATGACGAACAACAGTGTCTGGAAGAGCAGAGACAGAGACAGGCTCCTCAGCGAGTATGCTTTCCACAACAGACTTTACTGCCTGGTTTTGTTGGGACTCCACTCCTTTCTCCAAAAGGCTTGCTAGCATTAAGGGAGCCCTGGCTTTACCTTCCCAAGAAATAACAAAGGTGTTGGTGGGGTAGAACATATGCATCACAAGACTGCTGTGGGCAACACCAGGAAGAGAAAGTTTTCAAACTGTGTTCTTTTGAAACGTTCATTAGTCATATAAGGTAGGCACTGCTATTTCTTCCCTGTGGGATAGATAAGAAAGCTGAGGCTCAGGGTAAGCCTGAATCGTAAACTATCTGGAATCAGTAGGTGTAACTAGGGAAACTGGCAAGCAAGTACCAGGCTAGGATTCCAGGGTCCTCAGCTATGCATGGATAAAGAATTGGATATGGGCAACTTTTTATGTTTTAGGAAAAATAATTTTGCTTACATGGGCCTCACAACTTGTTTCTTTCTTCTAATTACCCTAACTTGAGGGATATCAGAGTTCAACAGACCCAGTAAACAGATGAGAGACAAGTTCAGATTTTTTAAAAAATCCGAGTTTTAAAAATAAGTAGGCAACCTCCTGTGTCTGTAAGATTTTTTGTTGTTGTTTTTAATCCTATCTCCTAGATATGCATTAAATTTTCCATGAGGATTCGATTTGAATGTCTACGTCAGAGGTAAATGAAGACAGCAATAGCAGATGCCCTTAACCAGGCATTTACTGTGTGAATGGCCTTGTGCGAACTATCAGTTCTATGAAGCTTCATTTGATCAGCACCTCCCCTGGGAAGGGACTTGGTCTTGGGAAACTACGATGATCTAAAATGACAGCAAGTAGAACAGAAACCTGAAATTGGAGGCTGCTGGTTTAAGGATCCATCTTTATCAGGCAAAGCACAAAATCATGATCTGTGGCCTCAGGTGATGACTGCACCACAGCAGCCAAGTCCACCGCTGAGGAGGTGCAGCACTGACCCAGAGGAGAGGACCCAGGGTGGCAGCGCGAGGCCTCTGAGGTTCCCAGTCTTACACAGAAGCGCCTGACCTCCCCAGGCTCAGCTAGCACTGTGGGAGTATATGTTTGGGGTCTGAGTCACCACGACTTGGAAAAGGGATGTCTCATGTGTATTTTATCCTGAGAAAGGATGCTGTCCTGTGAGCAGCTGTTTCCAAAAGATATACATAATGCAAATGAATTGCTCTGAGGTATGCAAAAGCGAGGAAGGAAAAAAAATGAAAAGCTCATAAAAAATGTTAACTGTTTTGTTTTAGAAACTGTCCCCTAAATCAGAAAAATAAGATGTTGCTGCGTTGCTTGTATATACAGTAAATGTTCCTAAAATGGTGAAGAAATTTCCTATGTCTAGCTGACAACTAAAGAAAAGCACAGCTGTCCTGCCCTCTAAAATGCAAAAAACAGATCACATTTCCTGAGGTCTGTGTCCAACCTCTTAAGTACTTCACACACATTATCTGACTTCATTCTCACAGCAAATTTAACCAGTGAGGATCACCATCACCCTTTACAAGGGGGAAACTGAGGCTCAGAGAGTTAAAATGACTGTCCCAAATGAGATCTCGCAGAGTCATTTTGATCCCAAGTCTGTTCTCTCAACCTCTGCACGACACTGTATCTCATATACATATTAAGATTTGAAAAAAAAAAAGAATAAATAAATATACTATCTGATATATTTCCCCTTTTCTCTGCATTTGGTACTTTCGTTAGGCTTCTTGTTGTATCTGACCTCTCCCATGGGGTGACAGTTCACTGACTTGCAGCTTAATCAGGGAATAACAGCCTGCTCAGCTCCAAAGAGCGCAGGGGACATTAAAAAGTCCCAAGAATGGTTGCTAATAGAACACACCGACACATGTTGATTAAAGAAATATTATTCCAAGTTTTAAAAAGAAGAATTTTTCATAAGAAAGACGAGTTTTAAGTCCCCCCCAAAAAAATTTAGAGGGGAGAAAATGCCAAATTTAATTTTAACAAACACATAAAATCCCAGCATACAAAATGGATAACTGAATGTTTATATATTTCATATCTGTATTTGAATGGTGGTAAGAACATTAAATTTTCCCCCAAAAGATTCTCCTCTAGAATCAATATTTTTCTGAATATCACAAGTTTGAACAGCCTTTTCACGAGTACAATTTTAATTACGTTTGCATTTGGCCTTTATCTGTCAAATTACTTAGGGTTCTGTAGGAGTTTCTCGGCATCTATCTACAGTGTATTTTAAACTTAATTCCAAGGGGTTCTGCTCCTGCCAGTCCAGGTGAGGCTTGTGCCAAAGAACATGTTTCCTATAAACAGCAGTAAAAACACAGTCTCGTTTGATCCAAAGAAGGCTTGTGGCTCACTCCGTTCCTTACCTGAACTCTATCTCATACCTCTGTTAGGCACAAAGTGAAGATACATATTTACTCATAAAGCCACTTAATCAGTGCATAGTACTTTTATAATTTGCTTACAACATTAAAAAATAAAATCGGGATCACCAAGATTGCTAACAACTCAGTGGAACTAGAATGCTTTTAATTCTGCTGTCAGTCTCTAGAATTCTGTTCCAATTTGTGATAAGTGCAAATTATCCAGGTTGCCTTAAACTGTTATTGATTTTACAGAAGATAGGACTTCAGTTCAACAAACAAAGAGGTTCATTTGCTGGCAAGATTTTTCTTTGATTTAAAAAGAAAAAAAACCATAGTGCCTAATTTTTTTAATAAGCTGTTTACTCATGTGAGTAGAGATTCTTCTATTCATTCTGGAAACATATGAGATAAAAATTTACCTCTGAAATCACTATCATAACAGATTGTGTTGCTGGCTAATGCATAATCATTTGAGAGGCACTAAAATTCTGAATTGGCTATCCAAACCTCTACAGGTATTGAGGAGTAAAAATGTCATTCCTATCAAATCATACTCATTACAGGGTAAGTCCGAGTAGCGGGGTGGGATATGGAAAGCCGTTAATGCAAGCTCCCAAGCCTCAGTGTCACCATTACATCAGCAGGTGCACACTGAGTGTGACTAGGCCACCCTGCACACCTCAGGAGTCCAGAGGTCCACGCTGGTTCCCAGGTCCATTCTGGTACAGGACCCGCCTTGGAGGTCTCACCTTTAACATCTGTTGCTTCTGACCTCGCCCCACTCAATTACCTTTGCTATATTAGAGCTTTATAGAATGTCGTTATTCATATTTGTAGAAGGACGGCTACATAAATGTTCTCTAAGGTTACGCTTTTCTAAACCTGGAAACAGTAACCAGTCCTTTCATCCCTTGTTTGGCTGGTCTGATGTTTTCCCATCCACAGCAGCTCTGGGAGCTGGGTCATCCTTCAGTTAGCTCTGCGTCCTGAGTCACAGCTAACCACACTGCAGACTGAATGGCTTGTGGGCTATAATCTGTTTGCCAACACAATAGCAGGCGTTAAGGAAATGTGGTGCCCTCTGCCTGTCTTTGTATTCAGCAGGTCTCTCGGATCAACAGGTCCCTTTTCACTTTTTTAGTATTGATGCTTATTGCAAAATTCAAGGCAGAAGCCTGTGGATACAATTCTTTTTAAGACACACCTTAAAAATAAAGGTAGGAGGTGAAAGCATTAATCAAAGAAGGCAGCTACCACTACCTCTGTAAACATAGAAGCTTTAATTCAGGAAGGATGCCTAACAGAAAACATTTCACAAGAAGAAAGGGTCAGATCACCCGAAGGATACAAACAATTCAATTTATATGAATCCAAAAGTATAGCTAAAAAATGAATAAAGTAAAATCTTAATGAACCCAGGAGAAGCAAAGAAAATCTGACCTATTCAATAACTTAACAACAGGCAGATAAAAATCAAGGGTTAGAGAAGATTTGAAAAAAAATAGTTAACAAGCTTGACTTAAGCATGACTGAATGGCTATAATATCATAGCCAACAACTACATTTTCAGGTACATATCTACCATGCCATAAAGCCATAATCGACAAACTTCAAAGAAACAGAAGTTATACATGATATACCTGAACACTGGCTTTAAAAAGAAACCAACTAGAAAATAACTTCATGTTTAGAAACATGTATACTTCTAAACACCTTGCTCAAAGAAATTAAAATAGGAAATGTTTTTTAAAAGAAACTAAAAATCTAATAATATTAAATTTTGAGGACTGCACTAATGCGGTGTTTAGAGGTGAATTTATAGCTTTAAGCATACTTATAAAAAAAGGGCTAATGTCATGTCTCTAAAAAACTTCCTGAAGAGAGAAAAAGAACAACATGTTACACTAAAGTATAAAAAGAATGGGAATTAGAAAATAGTAGACATTAATGAAATAGAAGAATAATTTCCAAGGAGAAAAATCAACAAACTAAAAAGTGGGTTCTTTGAAAATATTAATAAAGTAAGTTCCTATATTGAGGCTGACACAGAAAAGGGTGGGGATTTATCACTATTATGAATTACAAGAGGATCACAAGAGCAAACAAGCATTAAAAAGAAGATAAATATTGTGTCAATGGATTTTAAATTTTGGATTCAAAGGGAAAACTTTGTGACAAATGACAAAGACTGATATAAGAACAAATAGAAATCTGGTGATATTACAGCAATAGTTGGAAAGTAAGTATATAATCCCCACTAAAGAAAATTTCTAGCTACACAAATTCATTGGTGAATTCTATGAAACAGTAGAGAAAAGAAAAATACTAATTTTGCAATACTTCATTTTCATTCAGAACATAGACAAGGAATGCACTGTCAGGTTTCCATTAAAGAAGCACAACTAGGATGGGATAAATATCAAAACACTCACTGCAAAAAATCTACTTCTGTTATTTTGGGGGCAGTGTAGGCAGGTCCAGAATCTACACAGCTAACTGTTTGAAAGGGCAGGGGATGAAGCTGCTGTCCAAAGGAGACATTCATATTCTTTAGAGAAGTCTCAGCTCTTAGCCTTTGAATGACTGGATCAGAC